TTAAACATGTATATATATGTACATGTAAAATATATATACGTAAATGTATTTCATGCAATTAATAAATATTTCTACATTACTTTTAATTCTTCCGTAATTTAGGTTATATATGATCAAAAATATGCTACTTATATACGGTTATTCTAACGTCTAAAGACAAACTGCTTTTATTATTATTTTTCAACATACAAACAGTTTTTCTTGGTAAATTATGAAATCTAGTATAATCTTAAAATTCATTTACCAAATGTATTATTTTTTAGAAACTTGTCACCTTGCAAAAATGGGTGTTGCTGGCCTTTGGCATTTACTTGATACAACAGGAAAGCAAGTACCTCTAGAAACACTAGAAGGAAAGATCTTAGCTATTGGTATATTTTAATACTTATATTTTGTAATCATTATTATAAAATTTCTTTATAATTTAATCATGTTCACGTAAACAACAAAATTTTGTAGATATATCAATTTGGATTTATCAAGTACTACAAGGATATCAGGACCGCTTTGGTAATCCTAAACCTAATGCTCATCTTATTGGTTTATTTCACAGAATATGCAAACTTTTGTATTATAAAATTAAACCAGTTTTCATTTTTGATGGAGGTATGCCAATGCTTAAGAAAAACACAATTGTAAGTTTCTACATCTATTTTTTTAAAGTAAAGAATATGTATTTTACAATTAAAATATCAACTCAATAGATTTTCATATAATATTTAAATGATTTTAACTTTCTAATAGTTTAAGCTGTCATATGTCTTGATATCAAGTACATTGCATGCATGTATTAATGAAACTGTACTTTTATCTTGATTATAATATTGTCTGTACATAATTAGTTTGCTGTGGGAACCAGGTAGTGAGAAAAGAGGTTCTTATTCTTTTGTGTTCACAGGCTTTACGGAGGAAACAGAAATCTATGGCCAAGAATAAAGCCCAACAGATGAAAACAGAATTAATAAATAATTTGATAAAGCATTCTGTAGTGAAGACAGTTCTTAATACAGAAAAACAAAATACTACAAATGACTTTCCTGAAGTTCTAAATTTACAAAGTAAAAAACTATCCATGGATGATATGTATAAATTACCAGATATGCCAAGCACCAGTAAAATGGAATCAAGTCATAACGATGATTTTAATTCTGATTCATCTGATGAACCAAGTCCAAGAAAACAAACAAAATGGATTGGAAATATTCATAATGTGGATGTAACTAGTAATGAATTTAAAACTTTACCAGCTGATGTACGTTATGAAATTCTAACAGATCTCAAAGAAACAAGGAAGCAAAGTTCATGGGGCCGTTTGCACGAAATGCCTGAAGTACATACTGAGACATTTTGAGAATTATATACATATAAGTATTTAGTTTTATTATTATTTAAGAGATATTTTCATTTAGGAATCAAATGAATTTTCTGGTTTTCAAATGAAACGTTTGTTAAAACGGAGATTTGTACAACAAAGTTTAGAACATGCAGAGAAAGAAATGGGAGGAAAAACACTTACATTAGACGAATTAGAAAAATTATTAAAAGAACAGGGAATATCTACGAATATCCAAAATTATACTTATCGTATCGCTGCAGACAATGTAACAAGATTAATATATATTAGTGGTATGTAACAATTTTTTATCATTCAAGAAAAAATTGAGTCTTTCTTAATTATTTGTTTATCTTTATAAAACACTTTATATCGTAGATAAAAATGCATATCTTAAAGACAATGATGATAATTCAAATAGCGAAATACAAAATAATGAAAATAGAATGGATGAAATCATTGTTAGATCCAGTAAAGCTGTACGAATCTGTGATGATATAAATGAATATGAACTTAATGATGATTGGGATAGTGATATTGAAATAACAGATATAAATAATTTTGAATTTACGGGAGTAAGTAGTAACTCGGAATCGGAAGTAGAATCCAATGAATCTCAATTATTATCAAAAAAATATTTCAAACAAGACATTGCGAATCTTGCATTAACGTATATGGAATATAGTGGACTAACAGAAAAACAAATCCTTAGTCTTCTTGAGAAAAATAACAGAAAAACTAACAAAGGTGTCGAAAATGCAATCATCGATTCACTTAAAGCAGAACAGAGTGAAAATAAAAGTAATTCATTAAATGTTGAGCATTTAATTTCAGTATCTGAGAATAATAAAGAAGAAACTAATAAAGGTGATGAAAATGTGTCGAAAATACCACAAGTCGATTCACTTGAAACAGAGCAGAGTGAAAATAAAAGTAATTCGTTAAATGTTGAGCATTTAATTTCAGTATCTGAGAATAATAAAGAAGAAACTAATAAAGGTGATGAAAATGCGTCGAAAATATCACGACAAGTCGATTCACTTGAAACAGAGCAGAGTGAAAATAAAAGTAATTCGTTAAATGTTGAA